GGAGCGTGGAGGGCGGGGGGAGGGGGGAGGGGGAGTGTGACAAACCACTTTAAATGAGAGCAACGACAATTTTACTCGAAAAGTTTTCACGATATCCATTTGCACGTAATCATATAAGAAATTTTCATTGCCGCGATAAAATATACATAGAATGTGTATTATATGTCGATAGGCTTTAAGTAATGTGATATATAATATTATGATCGATAGCTACTTCTTGCAATATGTATATATACATACGTATATATGTATATCGTTCACTGTGAACGTTACAACCGCCATCGGAACAGCTGGGACCTGACCTTATCTTAATTCGCCTATAGTAAAGTCCAGTAAGACCCATCATTGTATACTCGCAGATACGATCGCCGACACCATAAAAAAAAAAAAAAAAGATCTATAGCTAGCAGAAATCCTGAGAAGAAAGCAACTTGTAGCCTGGCGGCAGAGAAGACCCCTCGGCCCCTTCTGCTATCGTTATCTACTATTGCCTTGGCGTAGGTGTATATATAGGTATATTCGAGAATCCGACCCCTGTGACAGCTAAATAATTGCGGGGAGAGTCTTGATCAATGACGTCATCGGGGAAGACACACCACTTTCTCGGGCTCGTCGTCGCGACGCCGCTCTCTCCTCGGCGACGTCGTTGCTATATGAGCAGAAGACAAGCGTAGGTACTTTACCACTTGGCGTCTCGGGGTGGACAGAACGAATTGGATACCGGGTCATTCGTTTTCAGGAATGTTACAGTTACCAGACTCATTTTGCGTTGGGGGGGAGTTGATAGGGCGAGAAGGTGGAAGGTGATAAGAGAGAGGAGGGAAGATATTTTTCAGAGAAAATATATTTTGTTAATCTTCATCGAGAATACGAGGCGTAGATGGTAATTGGTGACTTTTCGGAAATCCAAAAAAAAAAATTGGAGGTTACGAAAATAAACATTTTTTTTATTCGTGTTTTTCAATTTGCCATTGTGAACTCCCGCTCGACACGGTGCTCGATTCGGCGTCGGTGTATTAAGGGGAGAGAAAATGAAGATGGGTCTCGAAAAGGGGGTCGAAATCGTGAAAGGAGGGCAAACACGAGGTTCCTCGCGAGTAACGAGGATATTTAAGATGAAAATAGGAGGAGCGTGGAAAACATTTTAAACGAAGGTAGTAAGCCTGTCGGTCGGGCCTCGGAAGTATTTCGACCTACGACCTTTTCGGGTCTCTATGGGAGAGAAGCGGATACCTAAGATTACGAAAAGTAGCTGGCAAGTATGTTGATGTGGGTATTTTCGTTGAATATCCTTTACTAATGAGACTAAGTGGGGAAGGCTGATAACCCGTCAAATTTATTAAGGACATTTTCCAAATTTCACGAAACTTTGTCACCGGTCCGTTAATAACGAGAGATGCGACGTTCGTAAATTAATTATTGATAAGCAGCGCCTGGTGGCGCTAAATTGAACTAGAAAGTCAACGCTAGTGTATATGCACTACGAACTGCGAACGTACGTAGCGGTAGGTGATAGTAGGTTGTAGACAGATAGGAGATAGGTTGGGATGGTTGAATACAGTGCAGTCGAGTCTCGCTCGTCTTATCAGCATAGCTACGGATAACGCAGCATCCCTGTTCACTGATCTCTCTGAATAGAAAAGTTTTCAACGGGTAACCAAAACAGCTCATTACGAAAATAGCGCATACGAGGATGGAAACTTTAAAAGAAAAAATTTTCATTTATAAATTTGAGAAATTAATCTTATCAGTGATTTTAATAAAACTTATTAAAAATACGTATCTGATACGTGGTGACGGTGTTAGATTTTGATATTAAAAAAAAAGGGAAAAAATGTTATCGTAGGAATTGCTATGGAATTGCATGACACGGTAACCCCAGGTTGTTCCAGCCGTCGCGAAGCTCAATTCCCGTGAGGACTACAGGGGAGCTTAAAGCGTCGAATCACGCAACCGACCATGCGACGTAGCGACATAGCCCCGGTGCCTTGTTGTCGTTAGGTTCGAAAGGCGCCCTTACGGTTATCCGTAGAACCTCAATCATCAGACAGTGTCTGAGCAGTGTCGATTCCAATTATCGTTAAATCCGTATTATCCGTAAAGTGGCAGGAATGAAAGGAAGAAAATACAATAGCAAGAGACAATAAAAAAAAACTCACAAACATTTTTCTCCTGCCGTCGAGAGAGCGTCGAGATCGACTTTATCTTTGATTTTTCTTCTTTTCCTTCTGAAACAAAAAAAAAATTCAAAATCTTCAGGAAAAATTTGACAAAAATTATTCCCACTGATAACGAAAGTCTGGGAAGTTAGTCTCCCATAATTCGAAAATTACGGTTCCGTTGTTTGTTCTGAGTTGCTCTACGTCTGTTCTACAATGTTCCAGAAAAACAAGTTTCTCATTTGAAATTTGTAGCGGTGAGGCGAAAAAAAAATACTTTTTTACCGGAACACCCCACTTATGGAAAATCAAACTTTTTTTTGTTGTTCAAGGTTGTTCTAGTTGTTCTAAATATTGTTCCAGAATATTAATACCGCTAAGTAAAGAATACCCGAATGGGTTCAAAAAAACGTTTTATGCATTTAAAATCGTTTCTTACTACTTTTATCCGACTTGCGACTACCCGATCGTTATACAATTCTAGAACAATCAGAGGTAGACCGAGAACAACTTGGAGCAACCTAGAACAACCTAGAACAAGCTAGAACATCCTGGAATAACCTGGAAATCGTTCGAAATGGTCCTATATCTACTTGCTATGCATAAAACGTTTTTTTTTGTTCCCATTCGAGTATTCTTTACTCAGCGTTATGAATATTCTGGAACAATATTTAGAACAACTAGAACAATCTAAAACAACAAAAAAGTTCGATTTTCCATAAGTGGGGGGTTCCAGTAAAAAAGTGGTTTTGTTTCGCCTGATCGCTACAAAATTAAGTTGAGAAAGTTGTTATTCCGGAACATTATAGAACAAACTTATAACAAGACAGAACAACAAGTAGAACCGGAATTTTCGAATTATGGGGGGCTAATTTCCTGCACCCTGATAACAACCCAATATAGACCGTAGACTCTTCGTATACGAAGGATATCGGGTCGTGCGAACTTCAGTGCTGCCAATGTCTGATAGATTATTTGAAGAAGAAAAAGAAAAAAAAAAGATTTTTCAATAAAACCTACGCAGGCATCACCGATTCTTGCCCGAAGAATGAAGACGCAGTGGGTGGTGGGCAGAGGCCTTTTTCGAATGGAGAAACAGAAAAAGGAGAGAAAAGCAGAAAGGAGGTTATAACCTTCAAGAAGATATATCGAGGGCCCCGCATCTCGCTCCCTCCTGCACCGGCAAAAGGAGCTAAGTAACCGAGAGAGGGAGTCCCCTCGAGGAAGGTTCACGACGTGGCAGCAGACTGCTGTCGAGGAAAATCCGTCTAAACCGAAGATCGAGTGCTTTGGAATATTAAAGGACGCGTCGCGATTTGTTAGCGTTTAAAGGGACAATATATTCGAGCCCTATATATATATAGTGCCCAGGGTGATATCCGAGTATAAGGAACGAAGAAGAAGAAGACAATATACTAATAACGTTGGGTGCAGAGGAGGAAAGAATTCGAAGAAAAATTTCTATTCGGGTATTAAAGAAATAGGGGTTGAATTCCTTCACCCCGGCTAAAACAAGAAAGAAAGAAAGAAGTCAATTCCAAAATCCAATGCCCGACAGCTGGCAATCCCCCTTCTACATATTCTCGGTAACGGGTATGGGGCAATCCTCACGCCCGTAGCAAACGCATCGGCCTTCCCGCTTCCGTCCCTCCGTGAAACCAGAAAGCAGTAGCCCCACCACGCCCCCCTTCGCCCGCCACCACGTAAATTTCCCGAGTTTTATGAAGGGTTGGCCATTCGTGAATCCCGCGTTTGTAAAGCATTATCCTGGATTAGTAAGAAGGTCTCCGTCGTCGCTGGAGCGTGCCTAATGAAAATATCTTTTCAGCCGTGGGGAGTAGGGAGGGGAGGGGAGGGGAAGGGATGGGGGAAAGAGCGATTCAATTTTCGTTGGAAACGCTTCGAGGCGGAGTAATGAATCGGAGGATTCATCGACAGGGTGGTTTCACCCTTAAAAAAAAAAAATTCAAGACTGTCGGGAACTCCCTCGTGATCTATAGGACACGTTACTGTTCCGATATGTCAAAATATTTTTATTTCTGATAATTTTTTTTTTTTTTTTTTTTTTTTTCAAATATACAATAACCAAATTTTTGTCGCATACGTGTATATACATATACGTTATGTCATGATTGGATTTGTTAAATTTATATTGGAAAATTTTACTGTTTATTGTAAAGTTGTGGGGATTGTCAACCACCCCCCCACCCCCAATGAATTTTTGTCGCATACGTGTATATACATATACGTTATGTCATGATTGGATTTGTTAAATTTATATTGGAAAATTTTACTGTTTATTGTAAAGTTGTGGGGATTGTCAACCACCCCCCCACCCCCAATGAATATATAGAAAAATGGATATTGCGTTATAAAAATAAAATTCCGGATTTCGATTTACGCGTGACTGTCCGCGAAGATGTCTCCTGTCTATTTGATCCGCCCAGTGTGTCCGACTCGGATGCGATATACATAAAGTTATTCAAATTTTTCGCCGATCCCGGATAAATGCAAATGAAACGGGAATATCGATCGAAAGGAAAGTTTGGCAGGCAGGCTCGTTGCGGAAGATCGAAAAACGCTGAGACCTCACTTTTTTCCGCCGTTTGTAACAACCACCCTTTATACTCACCCCTCGATGCTCACCTTCCTCCCTTCTCAACCGCCGGTACTTTCCTACTTCTTCTTGTCGCCGGTTCTTGCTCCACTTCTCGCGAAGGCCACTTGGCTACTCGTAGCCAGAAATGGGTGTATCCACGCTGATGCACATCCTGCCGGATTCTCACCTCCGACGTCGTCTAATGGCGTCGACCATGCCAGAGATACGACGCGGGGCGTCGCGACGACGACAGATATTTATACCACGCCGTTGGCGAAAACTTGTTTTTTTCTTTTACTACGAAATATACGTCGTCTCCTCGCGTCCACCTTGGCGATCCCTGGAGTAAACATTATCAACCCCTTCGTGCCGGAGCAAATGCACCCCGGGCCTTTTTGTACCCATAAAAATGTCAACCCCGAAGTTTAATAGGTCGTCGCGATAATACGTGTAAAATTGGAAAAATTTCCTGCGAACCGAACTGAAGTCCCAGGTGAGAACATGACTGAAAAAAATTTTTAAGAATAGAAAAATTTTCAAAAAAAAAAAAAGAAAGCCTTCCGACGCGTAACGGCGTCTGCACGTTTCTCGATTTTCACTGATTTATATACGAGTAAACGAAAATTATTAATCTCGCCAATTCAATGATTTATTACCTACTGCGATACGTGATCTGCAAGTAATTCGTATGAAACGGCTGATATTAATATCAGCAATTAATACGAGATCGACGGACACGTGGTAGAGGAGAATAAACGATGAGGTCGCGCATGCGCGGAATTGGAAATTGAAAGGGAAAAAAAGAAGCGTGACTGAAATAGGTAACAAGGGAAATAAGCGAAATACGGTAAAGGCGCTCGTAATTACGAGCGCTCATAAATCCTCTTGGAGGATTGTCGTCGCGAACTTCTCGTTCCGAGCGTCGTTCCTGCTAGCTTCGCACACTCGCGGAGTCCGAACTCAGTCAACCCGCTCTACACGTATACAGAGTAAAAACGAATTTCCCTCCCGAATTCCATTAGAATTTTCAACTCGCTTCCACTCGCGCAAGGATTTTCGCAGCGGAAAAGGGATGAAAAAAAAAATGGGAGATGCAGCAGGATTAGAGAACAAGGTGGGGGATGGGGGGGGCTGACTTGCTGACTGGATGACTATCCCCACCCCTCTTGGACCGATGCAGCCTGCTTTTACATAGAAATTCGATGGTTCAGCTCTTTTACGTACTGGAAGACTTATCAGTTGGATCCAGCTGTAATGGAATTGCGAATAAAGTTGGCGCGATTCCGACAATTTTGGGAACGTCATCAATTCCATAATGACTATTGGATTGTCGTATTGGAAAACATTGACGTTATTTACTATATTTACACACATACATCATTTTTCCATTAAGAAAAATATACGCTCGACAGTCTTTAAACGTACAATATATATATATATAAACGTACAATATATATGATAAACGTATATCGAGCTGCATAAAGTATCCACGTAAAGTACAGCGGTGCATAGTAGAATAAACAGACGTGTATAGATATACGCATGTATACATAGTACCAGTGGAGGAGAAATCGAGGAAAATTTGGCACGTAATAGCGAATGAAAGGACTCGTAAAAGCCCAGTACGATTAAAGCAAGGTAATTAAAAGGACGACGACTCGACACGCCAGACATCGAAGAAACTCTCGTGCCGGCAGGCAGTACGTAAACGGACAGCACGGAAATAAAACGGTTCTCCATTATCGCGCCGAGTGAAATGTTCTCGACTGCCACCCGTTATAACCGGAAGGGAATGAGATGATTAGCGGACAGAGAGCGATAGCGACGAAAAATTTTCAGCCGTATGTGCTGCCATAGTATATATATATATATATATATATACAGACAAATATACCTACGGCCCACGTAATAAATAATCTTTAATTAAGAAATCACACGCTAAGGCTCGGATGCGATAGGCTTTCTCTGTAGCATTATACATATATGTATATTCTCCTTTATAAATTATGCATATTGCACGAAAAAAAAATATATAAAATTAAAACATTCCACTCTCTGCCACAGTGACAAACTGTGACATAGATTGGACTCAGTCTCGAAAATTTCGACAACGATAACAATCGTGCCAGGAAAGAAAAAAAAAAATCGAAAATTATAAATATTTCTCAAACGACCCAAAAGCGCCGTCTGACCGTCACCGTCTTTCTCCACTGACGCCGAGTTCGGCTCGTCGGTATCCATACGGGTCACGAGCGTCGAAGCAGCCGGGTCGTTATATCCCGTTGCATTTGCCGGGAGTCAAGAACTCTGCCGAGAGAAGTATCGCGTGAAGTGCGAAGAAGTAGGTAACGACAGAGAGAGTCAGACAGACGGCTGGCAAGTCATAGGAACGGCTGAGCCGGCAGTGGATAGAGTCATAGGCAGGTTAGCCGTGCGGACGGATCTACAGGGCGAGACAAGGATATTTCAC